TGCCGTGTTGTGACCGGCGGCCGGCGGAGCCTCACATAGGTAATGCTCTGAAAAATATGTTTTTAAAACAACGAAATCACAATTTTTGTGTTTTTGATGTTTTGAAAACAAGTCTTATGTATTTTAACAATAAAATTTAAAAAAAATGAATAAACAAACATTATTTTTGGGTTTGTTATCTATATTTTGTTTTGAAAGATAAAAACCAGCAAATGATCCCAAAGTGGACCTTAGAGAATTTGGAAAAATGTAATGTGGCCCATGTTAAATCTAGGAGAATAATTTGTGATGCAAAAAATGTTGCTTAATAATCTTTATAATAGATTGTATACTAAAGAGTGAAAGATATATGTATAAACTAGCCAAATAAAGTGGAAAAAAATTTTATTTCAAGTAAAGCACATTAAAGATGAAAACTAAAAATTATTTTTCTTAGGGAAAAATATTCAACATAGACGGGTGAGATATTTTGATAAACTTTTGAATGAAGTTTTTGAAAATACAATCGACCTTATTGATCTTAATATCAATAATAATAATAAAAATTTCTATTTTTACTGTCACATTAGTAAAAAAAGTGTAGGAGATTTTAAAGTAAATCAAGTGTGGAAAATCAGTAGAACTTGATGGTATCCCAATAGAGGCATGGAGATATTTAGGAGATTTGAGAGTTTCTTGGTTTACTAAACTTTTTAATATTATTTTAAAACTTTAAAAGATGCCTGAGGAGTAGGAGTATTTTGGTCCCCATTTTTAATAATAAAGGAGATATACAAGAGTGTGCAAATTATATAAGAATTAAGTTAATGTATTATACATTAAAATTATGGGAGAAAATAATTGAACATAGTTTAAGACATAATATGAAGATTTCTCATAATTAATTTGAATTTTGATGTCAGACAAGTCTACTATGGAAGTTATGCATTTATCAATAGATTTGATGGAGAAGTATAGAGAAAGGAGGATCTACATATGATTTTTATTGATTTAGTAAAAATTTAAGATAAGGTTGCTCGAAAAGTTCTTTGGAGAGTTATAGAAAAGAAGAGTGTTGATATGACTTATATTCATGTCATTAAAGATATGAATGCTAGAGTTGTTACTTGTATTCGAAGAGAAGGATTGATTAAGTATTTTTCAATTTCAGTTGGATTACATTGGTGATCGACTTTAAACCCATATCTTTTTGCTTTGGTTATGGATGTACTTATTGGAAATTTACAGAAGGATGCATCTTGATGTATGCTTTTTGCTGATGATGTCCTTCTTATGGATAAAACTAGAGAAAGTTCAGGAAGAAACTTGAATTATGTAGGATTGCATTTGAGTCTAAAGGCTCTCAGTTTACTAGATTAAAAACTGAAGACATGGAATGTAATCTTAGTAGTTGTAGATCTAGCGGCAGAGTTGTAACAATGGATGATCAAATCATTAAAAGGAGCAAACATTTTAGATATCTTGAGTCTATTGTTTGTATAGATGGAAATGTTATTTGTAGAATTCAAGTTGGATGGTTGAAGTGGAGGAATTCATTGGGCTTATTGTGTAATAGAAAAGTACCATTTAGATTTAAGGGAAATTTTTTAAGATGGTGATGAGAAATGCAATGTTTTATGACGTAGAATGTTAACCAATAATTATTGTGTAATAGAAAAGTACCATTTAGACTTAAGGGAAATTTTTTAAGATGGTGATGAGACATGCAATGTTTTATGACGTAGAATGTTAACCAATAAAAGAGAAGCATAAAACTAAGTTAAGTTTTGCAAAGATGAGAATGCTTAGGTGTATGAGCAGCTTAACACTCAGAAACACAATGCAAAATGAATGTATCTGTGAAAGGTCTGGTGTAAGCTCTGTGGCGAACAAGATCTGAGAGAGTCATCTTTGATGGTTTGGTTACATTAAACGTCTACATTAAACGTCAACCATCTGATGATCTAGTTAGGAGAGTAGATGTTTTGTTAGAAGAGTAGATGTTTTAGATTCAGATTATGTTTAGGGTAAAGGTAGACTTAAAAAAATTTGGACATTTTGATTATGTTAAGGGTAAAGGTAGACTTAAAAAAATTTGGACATTTTGTATAAAAAATGATTTTAATTTATTAGAATTAAATGAAAATATGACACTCAATAAAACACAATGGAGAAAAATGATTTATGTAGCCAATCCCACTTAGTGGAACGAAAACTTGTTATTGTTGTAGATAGTCTATATACATTTAACAACCACCATTTTTCCTTAGCACCATCATGATTGGTGATCGGTTTGATGTGTTGCTTGGTTTTATGACTCTTTGATGTAGCAACTCAGCCACTCGCAGTTGGAGACACCAACAGGAACACGCCTCAGGAAGTTGAGAAAACTGGTTCGGATAATGGCAGAGTCACCCTGAGTGGGAAGAAGCCTAAAAGGAGTAACACACCTACTACGGTTCCCTCTAGAAATTGCTTTAGATATAAAGAATTTGGGCACATCGCCTTCAGCCGCCCGATGAGTCGAGTTGTGTCTTTTACCGAATTGGGCATCGCGAAGGAGGTTAAAGACTAGGTGACAGTTGCGAAACAGGGTGAGTGTATCATCTTCTACCGGATGAGAGCTAGATGCTCGTGGTTCGAAGAGTCCTACAGTCCGATGATACGAGGGATCCGCAGTAGCTTCACCATAATATATTCTACGCTCGTTGCACTAGAACGGAAAGATATATAGTCTCATTATCGATGGAGGAAGCAACAGAAACACGACGTCTGCACAGATGGTGAAATTGTGCCTCATGACTCAAAGACACTCTCAGTCATATTCTCTGGCGTGGTTGGAGAAGGAGAATGGTGTCAACATTGACCGAATGTGCTTAATGGGGTTTTGATTGGGAGCCCGCTGCAGGATCAGGTGTGGCGCGACATAGTACTCATGAATGCCCGCTACCTTTTATTTGGTAAAGCGTGACAATTTGACTGTAGAAATCAGCACGACGAATTCACAAACACCTACTCTTTCACTAAGGAGGGAATTACATCATCCTTTTTCCTTCGATGGAGCTCGAGATCACAGGTGCCCTTACTAGCAGAGCAACATTGATGTGACTAGTTTTGGTGACGACAGAGGATGATTGGACTGAGACACTGGCTCTAGACACTGGACAGGCACGATAGGGAGCTTTTCATGACATCAAGGTCGAAACCTTACCACTATGGCCACCACTGTTTGGAGAGGTTCAAGTTACCCTCACTTCAGATAAGCTTGAGCCGGCTGTGATTTACTTTGGGAGGATTTAACAGTATATGCGAAACACAAACTTAGCTTAGTTCTGTAATGGACACCCTAAAAAGTGGATCAATATGGTTGTATGCTTGCAAGTGGAGGAAAATCCTCAGGTTCTTTGAGGGTTAGTGCAGCTGCAAGTGGGACCCAGGTGCTTCTCGGACCGCAGTAGAAAACCCTTCAACCCTAGGAGGTTGCAGCAGCGCCAACATTGTTAACGGGATGACAGAAGTTTCGACAAATGAGATTGACGCTCCCTCAATCCCTAGACTGACGCGGGGCTTGTGTTGGCTGAACCAATCGATTTAGTGGTAGGGACATATTGGTCCTACATGGACGCTAGACCAACCGATTCTTCTTGAGGGGGGATTTTTATAAATATGTTGTTTGTTGTTTTAGAGTTCAGTTTTTATTTTTCAAATTTTAGATTTAGGCCTCCATGTGTTTTTCCTTTTTAGGGATGTATCCTAGGACAGGTGGTGCTCCAAATATATCCCACTTCGAGGTGGTGAGTACCTCTGCCTAATCTCTCACCCAATCCATCTCTTACCCATAGCCCTTCAGCCTTCGCCTCCACCTTCTAGTTGCCGGCCACCCTACTGTGTCCCTTCTTCCCTGCTTCCATCCGCCAACCACCCTACCATCTCCCTTCTCCCCTGCTTCTAGCCGTGGGCCACCCTACCACCTTCTTCTTCCCTGCTTCTAGCCGCCGACCACACTACCACCTCCTTCCTACCTGCTTTCAACCAACGGCCACCCAACCATCCCTCCTCTATTTCTAACGGCCAACCAGGCCTCACCATCCTACCTGCCATCCCAAACCCCACAATGCCCCCCTCTCTCTCATTCCTACTTTTCCTGCCTAGCAGCCAACCTTCCTTCTCTCATCCAGTTCAACTCCTCCAACCGCAACACCACCATCCCGATCTACGCTCTAATTCGATGATGCGTTACTTTTCTTGTTTTCGATTGTCATGTTTGTATCCCGTTTCAGTTTCAGCATTAAAGTTTTATTCCATTGTGGTCTTTGGGTTAACTCTGGTATAAAATGCCTTTAGGTAAACTTAATTATTGATATCTATACAATTATGTTTTTGGGTGTCATTCATTATCTTTGTGCTATCGCTGCATAGTTCTTGCTTTTTTTTTGTTCTCATGAAGTTTTGGCCATTTGACCTCAAATAGTGAAACCATATTTCTGTGGTCACAGGTCTTTCCTTTACTCATTGAGAAATTTTCCTATGAAGAGCAAGCTGATCTTGTCTGGCAATTTTTGTGTAGCATCCCTGTGAACATGATGGCAGAGTTTCTCCCTTGGCTTTCGTCTTGTATTTCACCAGATGAACATCAGGATATGTTAAAATGTCTTTGCAAGATCATTCCAGGACAAAAGCTTCTTCAAGAAGTAAAATTACTTGTTTTTCTTTTTAACCTTCTTTTAATCCAATATCTATAAGAACTTTTAACTCATCTAACTGTAAATTTTAGGTGGTTTTCACTTGGATGGAAGGAAAAAGCATGAAAGAGATGAGCCAAGCCAAAAACTTCTGCAATGATTCCCCCGCTCAGAATTATCTTGATACTGAACCTTGTAAAGTTCTTGATCAAGAAGACAAACTTGTTTTTCCATGGGAGCATTCAAAAACTAGAAAGCGGAAACATGCGGAGCCGGATTACAGCCCTACCAGTTTTCTTGGGAATCATCCGATAAATGAGATATTGCACTGGCATAATGCTATCAAGAATGAGTTGAGTGATATTGCAGAAGAGGCAAGAAAGATCCAACTTTCTTCAGGCTCCCATGACTTGTCTAAGTTTGGTGAAAGACTTCAATTTATTGCTGACGTTTGCATCTTTCATAGGTCCGGGGTTTGTTTTTGTTTTTTATGCTCATTCACACGTTAAACATGTGATCACCTATATAAAAATCATATCATTGCTTGTCTTAATGATCTACAACATATTATCTTGTCGCTTGGTATTAATTGGTCTTAATTTTTTTCCAAAAATATATTTTTTTCTTAAATCCTTGCGTGTCTGGTTACACATGTCATTTATTCTATTGTTGTAACTTGTTTGATTGTCATCTTTTAGTTTACGAGATATGTCTTCTCATATGCAATATTCATCTTATGTGAACCACTCAAATGGGAAAGGCCATGATGAAGGTATTGAATTTTAGAATAGTGACATCGGACATTTCTATCTTTCATCGGAAAAACATCAATAGACATACAGGAATCCTTTAGTGTAACTGTTTGATTGCCTGGATATACTTGTAATTGTTTACTTTTCTGTTAAACTGTTGGAAAATTTTCATTGATGAAATTTTGTTATGGTTGCATGTTATATCTTTTGTCTTTATTTTTATTTTTTGTGAATATAGAAAAATATCAGCGGCTAGTGGTTTCTCTTTAATCCACAAAATAAATTTTAAAGTAAACACTACAGCTATTGAAGACTCTTCACTTAGAGCTGGATTTTTTTATTTATGCTCTCATGTGTGTATTCTTGCATTACCTAGAGCTAAATTTTTTATTCTAGCAGCTCATCCTGTTAAGCGTGTACTGGGTTTCCATTACAGCTCCCACATGCTTTCCATGGACCTCACCAAAGGCACAGATTCTTATTCCGCTGCTGTTTGCCTAGCCCAACTGCTATTTGATGGCTTGTTCTTTCCATTTCTCCTTTTCAATTTATATTAGCTTTTGCCTGCTAACTTATCTTAATGATGGCATTCATACACTCCATATTTTGTTTGCTGAAAGATGAAAAGGCTAAATTTAATGTAACTTAGTTTATATTATAGTTCATTTACCATTTTGGATGACATCTGTATGATATCCTGTAATTAAGCAAGAATAACATGAGAAAACTTATCTTAAAAACAATCAACCGGTTCTGCAGGGGTTTCGGTCCAGTTTCCTGTTGGACCACTCAATTGTTTTCAAGGGGCGGGAACTACCGCTCCTTTTCCTCCCTTCTATTTCCTTTTGCTTTATTTATAGGCTGTTAATGTGCTTTAGGGTTCAATTTTTGTGTTTCCTGTTTTTAGAGCTCCCGCCGCTAGGCATGCTTCCCTTGTTATGGCTGTATCTGAGGACGGGTGGCACTCCACCTTTATCTTGCTTCAAGGTGGTGGTTATTTCGTCTATCTTTGGTCATCCAACACCTTTCTTGTTGCCGCCTAGCTTTCCCTGCACCTTCGTGTTGCCGCCGAGCTTCCCCTGTACCATTCCTGTTCCCGCCGTGTCATCCTGCTCTTCCTGCTGCCACTCCTGTCTTTCTGCATCTTCCCTACCGCTGCCCAACCTTCCAGCATCCTCCCTTCTGCCACCAAGATCTGCCAGCACCTGTCTGGCTGCCGCCAGGTCCATCCTGTGCCTTCACTGTTACCGTCAACACCCTTCTGCTCCCTCCCTGCTGCCGCCTCCTCGTTACCCTCCTCCTAATTGATGCCATAGCATATCAAGCCATCCCCACATCTGCTGTCCAGCCAGAGTTCATCACCTTGACCCTCACCATAGAGTCCCGTTTATATTTGTGTCACTTTTTGTCCACTTTTATCAAAATCTTGTTTTGTTCCTTTCTAATTTCCAGCAATATTAATCGTATTTGCTTATTTCAGATTAAATCGGGTATCACAATCAATGCATTCTCCAACTCAGAGGCACTTGGAATCTGTATATCATATATTAAAATTCATTAAATGAATTCTGGGAATAGGCTTTTTATGCTAGAAAGTACAAAAAATAAACATAGAAAAATGCATCGTCTCAGATTGGGTAGCGGGTGAGGATAACAAATTCACCACAAAATTTGCACAAAATTATAGGAAAAAATTGTCACTCGGGTGACTATGAACCACCATGGTGACTTTTGCACAAGGAGTTTATAAGTTATCTAGTTAGAAAGATTGATTGAGATTTTCAAATATATAAAACATGGCCTATAACTTTCTACGGTGACAATAAATCAACAACTGATATTGTGAACAATTCTGCTCAAATATGACAGAATAAAATACGTAAGGATTGATGGCTCATTCATAAATACCGCTATTGGAAAGGGTGGAATAAACGCATGTTATATTCCTACTCTTTACAACAAGCTGATGTTTTCACAAAATTTCAGAAAAAAGGAGCTTTTGAAGATATATCATGCATGTTGGGAACGATAAATATTTATTCCGGGAATTGAGAGGGGGTTTTAGTAAATATAGAAAAATATTAATGGTTGGTGGTTTCTCATTCATCCAGGATATAATTTCAAATTGAAACACTTAATATTGGTGCCTCCTCACCAAGAACTAGATTTCCTATGCCAACTCCCACGTCTTTATTCCTGAATTACCTTGGGCTGGAATAGCAGTTCCAGCATCACATCCTCCTCACTGTGAGCTGGGTTTCCATTCTAGCTCCCACGTGCTTTTCTTGTCATCACTATAGCAAATTTCTATTCATTTTCAAGCTGCTGACCCCTGTTGGTATTAGATGGCTAGCTGTTCCATTTATTCCTTTCTTCAAGCATCAATTCCTTTCATCTATTTCCCACAGTAATTATTTCCTAACAATTTCTTTTGTACACTCCTTATATTCTTTATAGGAAAAAGGGAAAGGCAGCTAATTTATATTATAGTTTTACCATTTTGGATGTTAATTTTATCTACCCTGTAATTCAGCTGGAACGATATAAGAAAAATTCTTCTCTTAAAACTATATTTTGCTCATGCATCAATGTACTTTGAAAACATGCGCACAGCAATATCATGGTTTTTTTCCTGATTTTACTATTTTTTGCTGTATAACTAGGGAATGATCTGCCAGATTAATTTACTTTCTTCTGATGTATTAATTCTTCAGGTCCATTTTAATTCTTCAGGTCCATTTTAATCTTATGTTCTATGGACTCGATCTACTTGGAACCTGTTTTCAATTTATGAAAGCCCCCATATTTCTTCTATATCTCATAAAAGGAGTTCCTTAGTAAAGCATTATGCATTGAACATGACTCATTTTGGCATTGTATTGAAAAACACTAGCCAAATAAACTATCTATTTGTTCTTTGTTCCATGTTGTCAAAAAAAAATTGAATGGTTTACGGTATGATTTGAATTGGATGAAAATCAGTTTTAAATGAAATTTGGCTAAGTTGAACCTAAATAGAGCTTTTAATGACCATAGTTGGTTTGAATTCTGTTATGGTTTCTACCTCAAGCTAATGTTGGTGTGATTAATTAATTGGGCAAGATACTTTTTTATCAGATTTTGATTCAACCCTCTATACCTAACATTTAATTCGTGTAGAGATTCCCAACTACTTCAGTATCGGTGATGGCACTAATAAGTATTTATTTCTTGCAGCATAGCTGAAGATCAAGTTATATTTCCTGCAGTTGATGGAGAAGTGTCATTCATACAGGAGCATGCAGAAGAAGAAAGTCGATTTAACAAAATCAGGCTTTTGATTGAAAAAATCAAAACTACAGGAACAAATTCGAGTACTGCTGACTTTTATTTGAAGTTATGTTCATATGCTGATCAGATGATGGAAGCCATCCAGAAGCATTTCGTTAATGAGGAAGTTGAGGTATGTTGCTTTTGCCCGTGTTAACTGGGCTGTGTTAAATTGAAGGAAGCTGCTGTCTCATTTCGTTATTCTAGGTTCTTCCCCTTGCCAGGATGCATTTCTCTCTAGACAAACAGCGTGAACTACTGTATAAGAGTTTATGTGTAATGCCTTTGAGATTATTAGAACGTGCTTTACCCTGGTTGGTTTCCATGCTTACTGATGAACAGGCGAAGTCTTTCCTCCACAATATATGCATGGCAGGTTGCCAAGCATCCTTTTGCAATTTTCTAGTTTCTTACAGTTTTCATGTTTTTCACAAGTATTTTACAACTTTATTGCAGCACCACCATCTGACACCGCATTGGTGACTCTTTTCTTGGGTTGGGCATGTAAGGGTCGGACTCGGGACATCTCTAGTCCTGGCAAATTTATATGCTTATCATCAGAGGCAATTGGTTGCTTATTGTCAGAAGATAAGGATATTGAATCAGATTTTAGTCTGGGGAGTTGTAAATGTGCCCACCAACACGGCAAGCAACTTCCATCACATTCACAACATGTACAGATGGAGTGTCAAAAAACTCTAGTAAAGCAAGGTGATGACTGTAGGTCATCCCCAAATGCTAATGATAGTTATCACCCTGGCAAAATAGAGACTAATGATTTGTCATGCAGTACAACTTGTTGTGTTCCTGGGTTAGGGGTTGATGGTGGTAGTTTGAGAGTTAGCTCACTGGCTACTGGTAAATCACTGCGGTCGTTGTCTTACAATTCAAGAGTCCCTTCTCTTAATTCTAGTCTTTTTCTCTGGGAAACTGACGCATTGTCATCCAATAAGGATTATACAGTCAGACCGATTGACAATATTTTTAAATTTCATAAAGCAATTCGAAAGGATTTGGAGTATCTGGATGTTGAATCTGGAAAGATTATAGATTGTGATGAGACTTTTTTGCATCAGTTCAGTGGAAGATTTCGTTTACTTTGGGGTCTATACAAAGCTCATAGTAATGCTGAGGATGACATTGTTTTCCCTGCGTTGGAGTCAAGAGAGACACTGCACAATGTCAGCCATTCATACACTCTTGATCACAAGCAGGAGGAGAAGCTATTCAAAGATATATCCGAAGTTCTTTCAGAGCTCACAGAGTTGCATGATGGCCTGGCCAATACAGATGCCATACCTGAAGAAGGAATTGCAAGTAATTCATTTTGCCATGACATAAGCTGGAAAAGAAAGCATAATGAACTCGCCACAAAACTTCAGGGAATGTGTAAATCTATTCGAGTTACACTGGATCAGCATGTTTTTATGGAAGAGCTTGAGTTGTGGCCTCTATTTGACAAACATTTTTCGATTGAGGAGCAGGATAAGATTGTTGGTCGAATTATTGGAACGACAGGGGCAGAGGTTCTCCAGTCAATGTTACCATGGGTTACCTCTGCACTAACCCTTGAGGAGCAGAATATGATGATGGACACATGGAGAAAGGCAACTAAAAATACTATGTTCAATGAGTGGTTAAATGAGTGGTGGAATGGTGCTCCAAATTGTGCCCAGGAGTCAGTGGATCATGGTGTTATTCCTAATGATACAAATTGTTGTGCTGTATTTTTTATTTCTTAAGGTCCTTAATTTTTTATGACTTACTTTCTTTTGTGTCTTCTCAGGAACTGTTTGTCACGTAAGTCTTGCTAAAGGTGATCAAATGTTTAAACCTGGCTGGAAAGATATTTTTAGAATGAATCAAAATGAACTTGAAGCTGAAGTACGTAAGGTCTCTCGAGACTCAACGCTTGATCCACGAAGAAAAGCATATCTTATTCAAAATCTTATGACCAGGTTGGTTCCTGCTAAGTTGGATTGTCTGTTTCATGTTTAATTGTTTCATTTTTTATCATGTTCATGACCTTTTTTTTTTTTATTTCTTTCATAGCCGCTGGATAGCCGCTCAACAAAAGTTAACTCAAACTAAAACCGATGAGATTGATGGCAATAATATTCGGGGATGCTCACCATCATTCCGTGATCCGGTGAAGTCAATATATGGATGTAAGCACTACAAAAGAAACTGCAAGCTTCTGGCAGCCTGTTGTGGCAAATTGTTCACATGTCGGTTCTGCCATGACAAAGTCAGTGATCATTCAATAGATAGGTATTCCCTTTTTTCTATCATTTTTAGCTTTTAATTTGTAAGTTATACTAAATGTGGTTTGACTTACATCAACGCAAACCATATCATTTTAGAAATTGTTTGTTATGGTGCATACACATCAAATAGATGTGATTTTTATCTTTAGATGAACTGTAGTTATTTTTTCATTAGACCAAAAATTGATCCTGTCTGTGCGTTGCTCCCCTACCACCCTCTGTTACCAGAGTTATCACAAACAAAACAACACTAAGAAAAACAATTAGTAAAATGAATTATCACAAACAAAACAACACTAAGAAAAACAATTATTTTTACTAAAAATAAATAAAAGATCACAACCAAACACGCTTAAAAGGGCAAATGCAACAACGCGATACATAAACTCACACCAGAGTCCGATCCCAGGATGTTGGTGGTTGGCTAGAAGGATTGGAAATGAGTGTTTGGTGGCTGGAATTGTGGGAATAATGAGGTGGGAAAGATCACAACCAAACACGCTTAAAAGGACAAATGCAACAACGCGATACATAAACTCACTCCGGAGTCCGATCCCAGGATGTTTGTGGTTGGCTAGAAGGATTGGAAATGAGCGTTTGGTGGCTGGAATTGTGGGAATAATGAGGTGGGGGTGGCGGTTGCAGCAAGTAGGGGCGTATGGAGGGCAGTTTTTGGGGTGGCAACACACGTAGGGCAGCTGGGAGAGGCTGGAGAACAGAAAGTTGGCTGTTCCATGTGACGGCAGCGTGGGGAAAGGGTATTGCACAAGTGGCAGCAACTGGGGAATGTAGGAACAACAGAATATGATGCAGTGTAGGCAGCAGCAAGTCATAATGAAGTCTGGAACGGCAAAAAACAGGTTGGACGGCGATTCTGTGCATTGGCAGTGAAGGAAGTAGGCAAGAAGTGAGGCTGGAAGCTTGGTGATAGGTGGAGGCCAACTGTGTTGGGCGGCAAAAAGCCTATAAAGGAGGGAGTTGGTGGCTGGAATTGGTGGAACTGCAGGAAAGAACAGCAAAAACTGCTACTCTGATGGCTGCGTCAGTGTAGGGTAGATTGGGATTGATGTGGGAATGTTGCGGAGGTTAGGGGAAGGATAATCACCACCTAAAGAGTGAGATATAGCCGGAGTACCACCCAAACCCTTGGATACAACCCTAGAATGAAGAAATGGATGCGACTGTTGTCCTAAACAAACTCTTGCCAAAAAAAACTAAACTTAGAACATAAAAAAAGCAAATATATAATAAGAGGATAGTGAGGAGTGGCTTAAAGAGTCGGTTGACTCTACAACAACGAAAAAATCTTGACCAGTTCAATCCAAGCACGAAAATGGAATCCCACATTGTCACAGGAGTGTAGCAAATCACATAAACGGGGTGCAGTATTGTAGTAGGGATACTAAAACAGGGCTCCGGGTAGCTCATACGTCAGTCTACCTAGATTATGAGAGCTTTGATCTCATCTATCAAAGTTTATGTTTTCTCATAGTAGTCAGGTCAATCCTGTTGAAGGCAACAATAAGATTGCAAATCATTGTAAGTCAATCTTGCAGCTATTGTCGTTTCAAAACACATCCTGATAGAATAAATATTCATCGACCATTGACACAACTTAAGCCGAAGTTGCATAACGACGTAGGTTCACTAGCCAAATTCAAAGAAAATAGTTTTATAATCTACTCCTCTCACTCTTCGTACTAAGTTAGATGTATGATAAACATGTCTATCATGAGGAATCAACCCTGAGATGTAATCTATGGCAAGTTGGCCCATACTGAAGGGTAACCACTTAAGAGAGGCCTATTCTTCTTCTTCTTCTCTGAAAGGATCTAGATCCCACTGTAAGATGTTCCTTCCTGCAAAGCTAAGGCAATTTCCAACACTGGTTCATCCATCCTAGCTAATTATCTGTCTGTGGGTTTACCGTTAAATTGATTTTAATACCACAATGACTTTTTATGGGTTTCCAAAAGTGGCACTAAAAGGAGTCTCATCTCAGACACACTAGATCTCCCTCAGTAGATTTAACTCAAGAAGTAGCTCATATATATGAAAAGTCTAAATTTCTCTTATATGGGTTGCCCTGTGTTTGATATCAACTCCTCAAACTCATGTCGCTTTTGGACATTCATTATCAGTCATATTGATGCTCTTCTCAACGCCTACAAAATGGTGGCTCAAGGCACCACAATCTCGACAACCATTATCATGGACTCACTACCTTTTAGAACAGCTACTGTCAAGTCAGCTTGAGTCTCTTTTCTGGGTTCAATTGGAATCGCTGGCGTCTCATCTTTGTTGGCTGGAAGTTGAGAATCCTCTCTCAAATCTTTTTCTCCTTGGTCACTTTTTATTTTTTTAACTGCTCCTTGATCAGTGAAAAAGATCATTCTCTTGGTTGTGCAATCTGATTCGGTATACCTAAATAGATGACACTTGAAACATTTATAGGTTGGGATGAATTTGAAAATGTGGATTGGTTTTATCTGTCTCCACTCTGACCTAGTGTCTCTTCAGGCGTCGTTGACTTAGATGTTCTCCCGATTATATTTTTTTATAAGTTTCTGGGGTTGAACTCTGCCTGCAAGATGTGATGGTCATCTGGTAATATTGTTTCCCCACTTTTGAAGTTAGAGTTTGCACATCCTGTCCATAATGAACTGTTAGGTACAGGCACTACATCTCTCTTTTTATTTGGGACCAACTAGTGATCTTATCTTTTCCCTCTCGCTGGCGTAGGTGCTTTAAATATTGCCACTAAAATAATGCACTTTTCTTTAACTTATTAGCAGCTAGTTTCACCATTCCATCCGGTGAGACGTCATGGTACTAAAAAAAATGTTCAGTTTGGAGCCACTCAAGGAATATGTTCGAATCCAAGTGGTCATCAAAATATGACATTCACATAATATTGGAGGCAACCCAAACCATAATAAAAAAATAAATATTATTACTTGAAATAATTAAGTGGTTACAATCTCACACTTGAAAGAAAAAAAATATAAAAACACAACATCCCAAAATTGGAAATAGTAATAGAGATGACACAAATAATCAAACTAGGGTGGGATCTCATGGTGGTGGTGGTGATCGGCGAAGGTTTGGCTGTCTAACGAGGTAGCAAGGAGTGGGTGAAGTTTGGAAGCACAGCGACATCAAAGTGTGTGAATGGTGGCAGTGAAGGGGAAGGGTTGTGACAATGGACAATAAGCTGGAAGGAGAAGAATGGACTGTTGGGTTACTGTAATAACTGAAAAAACAAGAAAAGGCTTTTTTCAGGCTGCTTCGATGAGGGGAAATGCCAGTTGAAGTGACAAGAGATGTGGGGTTTTGTAGGACGGGAAGAGGATGGATGTCCAGGGTGGCGACAGGGAGGACAGGTGGCTAGAGTGGGGAAACTGCAGGAAAACAAAAAGGTGCAGCTGTTTGGGTACTGTTTCAACAATGGAGGGCGGTCGGAAGCGGCGTGGGGAGAATGTGGAAAATGATATTGAAGATAAATAACATTTTGGGAGAGAGAGATACAGTTGGAGCACCACCCAAACGCTCAGATACTACCCTTAAAGAGAGACATACGTCGGTGGCTATCCTGACAAAAATCTGAGCCAATACTGAATTACAAACACTAATACAACACATATATAGAAAATGATTAAAAAGAATGAAGGATAATTGGAAATAAACCATAAGAAAAGAAAACAGAGTTATTTTTGCGCCTCTTGCAGTATATATTTCTGTAGTACTGTAGCAACTACAATACCACACACGCGGTAAGCTTTTGCATCAATCTCTCGAGGTTTGGGAAGCTTCGACCTCATCCGTTGAAACTTCTATCTTTTTATATATAACATTAGGACGACCATGTTGAAGGTGGTGGAAACATTGTAATCTTCTGATAAGTTTATCATGTTGGCGTTGGTATTTTAAAGTACATTTTGATAAAATATATATCCATCTTATTTTGGCATAATCATAACTGGAACTATACGTAAATGACTATCCTCATGAACCAACTCTCGAGTCATTAAATATGTATTTGATATCTTCCACTCTTCGTAATCCAAGTGAATCTGATAAACAATTATGTAAGTAGAATTAACTTGGGTAAAATTTGTGGCAGACTGCACTACTCAATAGCAACCACTCATGAGAGACTTCTTCATTAATAGAACCTATACTCCATTGAACAATTTCCTTTCCCATCAAGCTCTTAAGATAAATTTCAAGGTTGGGGTCTATCTCTGCTATCTAGACATCTGATGATGAGTATCATGCTGAACTGAAACTAACAATAGAATAACTTCATGTAATATTGTTATGGCACAAAAGGGCACCATTTCTGACGTGTTGGATCTTCTTCAGTAGGGGCAACTCAAGAATGAGTCTATAGGTCTAAATGGTCTTAATTTTTCTTATCTGGGGCTACCATTCTTCTGGTGTCAGTTCCTCAACTCACGACTACTTTAGACACTCATCGTGAAGTCGGTTGGAGATCTAAATGGTCTTAATTTTTCTTATATGGGGCTACCATTCTTCTGGTGTCAGTTCTTCAACTCGTGACTACTTTAGACACTCATCGTGAAGTCGGTTGGAGTCTCTCCTACGGGTTAAATGTGCATCTTTTTCTTCTCAATTGAAAGCTCCGTCTATGTATCCTCACCGTCTTCAGTATCTACTTTTTCATTACTCAATTTTCAAGAACACCTTTGTACGGGTTAAATGTGCATCTTTTTCTTCTCAACTGAAAGCTCCGCCTATGTATCCTCACCGTCTTCAGTATATACTTTTTCATTACTCAATTTTCAAGAACACCTTTGCTCAATAAAATAGATCGTCCACTTAGTTGTGCGGTCTAATTCAATATGCTCAAATCCGTGGCACTTGCGACATCTTCTGGATGTGACAAATTTAGGGATGCGGATTGGTTCCACCCGTTCTCTACTCTGAACCAGTTTTTTCTCTGTCGAGGTCATCTTGGATGTTTTTCTAGGTGTACTCAAG